GAAGGGTATGAGCCAAAAGCTTTCTACTTGGCGTGGATTAGAGGTCTATTAGTAGTTGACGTCCACGTTTCCGGACCATCTAGACTTCTATTTGGTCAGAAAATAATAAGCCTCGACATCTAAATGACGTGTACGATATGTGCTTTCCTTGTAACTATGAGTGTGTATGTGAGAGACTGCGCATGTGTGTGTTGGTGTATATCCGTACATGTGTGTATATGTTCATTAATTTATGACGCTGCGATCTAACCCATCTCCTCTTTGTACATACATAGATTTTAGTATAGAAAAGAGTGATTGCATATGCAGATAAAGGATAATTTTTCTTTCTTTTTTTGTAATTTAATATGGTTATATCAGGTAAGACGATTAATTTAGGTTTCTAATTGTAAATAATAAGTATGGTTATACAGTGAAACATATTCCATGTGAGAATGGTGTGATTGACAAACATACACAAGGCGAGAGCTTTTATAAGTACCTCTAGTGTCATCTAAGCTTACCCGTAAAGTATTCTTTAATCATGAACAAGGATAGAATTAATTTTTAGAATGTATATTCTATATACCCTGTTTTTTTTTTCCTGTTGTTGGTTGCGGTATGAATTGAAACTGCGTAATAAACATACTGGAAATTCTTATGAAGTTCTTCATGATGTATACCATATGATGTCATCACAGGTATTAGGTTATGAGTGAGATGTCAATGATGTCCAGCATTTTCAAATATTTTACATATTTCATATGTAATTCCTACCACTTTGAAAAGAAAATAACAACAAAAGAACTGGGACATTTCCTCTGATACAACCATTCAATAATCCCTTTAAGTGACCTTTCAAGTTTTCAGTTTTGCTATGCAGGCCATTCGATGCCATACTGGTCTGGCTTTTCTTTTCTTTCTTTTCTCTGTCTTTTTGTTCCCTCTGAGGCTCAATACACGGGTTTTTAAAAGCTGAGGAATTTTTCACATTGAAAAAAAGAAGAAAAATTATGCATGATTGTCTCACTAATACTTTAAAATTTGTTGATACTGTTAGGTTAAGTCTTAGCTTAGAAATGATATTTAAACCTTCAATTTAGTTATTAAAGCAATCTTTTCAAGGAAAACTAGAGTTAGTGATTTGGTGAAGCTGTCATGTGGGTGAATGTGCAATCATCAGAGGTTTAGGATGCCTTACTATCTTACTCTTCTTAAACTGCCATTTTGTTTTAAAGCATACAACTGTGTAGATATTTTATCTAAACTAATTGAGGGCAACATATTTTGATTTTTTTCAAAACTCCAAAACACTGGTTTGAAACTTGTTTATTTCACATCTTTCAGTTGACTTTGCCTGTGCAGTGCACTGTGTGACAACCTAGTTTTGAAATGTGTTTCATTTGTAGCACATACCAATGGCTGATTTGGCCTGGTGTAAAGCTCTCTTTGATGATTGGTTTGAGCACATGCATGCAATATACATTTGACATTTGAAGCTGTACCTGAATTGAATGTGTTGGTCTTCAATATCAGTAGCATGCTTACTTTTGATGTAAGTAGCTGTGATACACATTTCCATATTACCTTCAACCTTGCCATAATTGAAAGGCATGTTAAATTACTAGGGATCACGTAGCAATTTAATAGGCCACCCAGTTAAATTTGTTTTGAAAGGTATTTTCAAATTTTTACTATTTTGATTGTAGTATCTGTTTTATGATTGGTTCTATAGAATCATTTCAACACATGTTTGGAGTTATATTTAAAGTAATAGGTTCAATTAATATGCCTCACTTAATGCTATAAAACATTGGCTGTGAAAAGTGTGTCTGGGGTTTTCATCACTTTGAGGCTCTATTAAAAGTAGAAAGACCTTGTAAAATTTATGGTCATACAGCAGCATTCTCAAATTAGCTTTGCTCAAACAATTTCTTTTTAACTTCACTAAGTTTATAAACAGTTGAAAATTTTTTATCCCTTTGACATCTTATATACCGTGTCATCACATTCATGGTGCACTAAGTCAGAATTGACGATTGAGTTGATAGTTCTGTAATTTTCACCTGTTTTCAAACTTAAGTGATATTTTTAACTATGCATATGCATTCTATAACTTTATTCTAAATCTGAGGCAGTTTTTTTCTAGATCAATCTTTTACCCTCTTACTAAATAGTTGATGAAATGGCAAATTAAAATCAAATAAAATTTAAGTAGACACTGCTACAATGTAGACTCTGTAAGGTAGTAAGGTATAATTTAAAATTACAACAACGCATTTGTGTGTAATCTTATAGAAGAAGATCATGCTCTGCCTTGCCTTGTGTTTACCTGACCGCAAAGAGGCATGCATTGTCATCATAAAGTTCAAAGCATTGGACCAAGATTTCTACAAATGGACACTAAATGTTTGTTGTAGAGCTGTTTCAGATATGTCTGTTGTAAAATTAATTTAGGAAAGCTTTCAGGTGAATGGAGTGCATGTAGATGTATTTTTCTTATTGTATTACAATTAAATTAAATCAAGGATCCATGGTATGTTTTATTGTATAACCAGTACAGACATGAGTACTCTAAAGAGAAGGGTTTGTTTTATATCTGCACATTCGGTATCTTCATGCCTCCTTATTTGTTTGTTTTGCAATTTGTAATATATTATGTGTTTTATTTTTCCGAAAGTTAAAGATTTATAGAATTTTAATATAACTGACTTGAAACGGTGAAAGAATAGGAATAAAGTCTGTGAAGATCAGCTTACGAGTGCTTTCTTTCATCCCCGACCGACGGACGAGGTGAGGCAGGCATGCGCCAGGCATACGCCAGGCATACGCTCTCGTGCCCCTGCCCTCCCACGCCTCCACGCCGCCCTACTCGTGACGTGGCCGTACTGCTGCCGCGCCGCCGCCCGCCAGGCGCGGGGCTAACGCGGGGTCGGCCTATTTCCCTCTTTACACTGACCCACTGCGTGCAGCCCGGCTGGCCCGCCGCCGCTACCATGCGCCGCCACTCGACCAGCTGACTGAGGACGCGCCCGCCCCCGCGAGCGAGTGACATGCGGGTCACGGCCGGAGGCCAAAGGGATGGGTCCTGCCGGTGGCTTGAGGCATGAGAGAAGGGCTTGAGGGAAAACGACAGGGGAATTATTTACCCCCCCCCCCCCGGCAACCTCTAAGGAAGCCGCCTGAACGGTAGGCAGTTCGCTGTGCGTGGGCAATCCAAAGAACCCTTCCAGCCAGTCTGAAACTCGCGCGTGCCGTCTTGCCACTGCGGAGAGGAATTCAGGTGGAAAACGAAGGGTATGAGCCAAAAGCTTTCTACTTGGCGTGGATTAGAGGTCTATTAGTAGTTGACGACCACGTTTCCGGACCATCTATAGACTTCTATTTGGTCAGAAAAAAAAATAAGCCTCGACATCTAAATGACGTGTACGTCGAGTAGACGGCCAGGTGGCTGTCTAGAGGCTCTCCACCCTAGGCTATACTGCTATACTAACCCGCATGCAGGCGCGCGGTCGGCTTGCCCATGGGATCGTTCAGAAAGTACGTTCTTTTTTCTCATATCTACCAGGTGGCTGATTCACGCCGCGCACTTTCGTACTTATACTGTACCGCATGCACGTGTGTGGACGCGTTGTCTACTCGCACGGGGCCATAAGGAGGTGTGGGCACAGAGCATAGGCAAACCCAACCCAACCGCACCCGTGCATGCGGTACAGTATAACTACGGAAGTGTGCGGCGTGAACCAGCCACCTGGTATTTGGCGCATTAGGGGGCTCGGCGCCTGTGAGACTCAGGGTAGGCCACCCCGCAGCACACGCATGCACTGTTGGCCAGATGTTGCCTACCTATCAGGCGCTACGAGAGCTGATTGGCTGCACTGCACCTGGCAATTTCTCAACGGCCAATGACGGACGCACTTTCTGGACGATCTCTATGACTGGGGTCAGTTTTGTTCACACCATGTAAAACAGTATGCCCTGAGTTTGGGTCACACCAATTGATGGTCACACCAGCTAAGAAGGTCTAGGCATAATACATAGAACACATAGATTACACCACAAACGTGACCAAAAATACGGCCACAGCCTCGGCCATACCACGTCACACTTCGTCTCCTGGTGGTGGGTGGCGGCGGCGTTTTGGTGTGCCTCCCGCGTTAAAATCTCCCGAGAGCAAGTGCAGTCACCGCAGTCTTGGCAAAAAAGGAATAGGACAAACTGCTCTCGCAAAGCAATGGCGTTTTGAAAAGACAACATTGCATCCTACAGGGCAATGCGGCGCTTCCACCTGGGTCTGGGTAAAATCCTTGGGGTGCCATACACGGTAAAAACAATATCTCTTTTTTTAGGGAAAACGGGAAACTTTAAAGAACTCTCTCTCTCTCTCTCAAAGTCCTCAGATCTCGCCACAGATAGTGAGGAACCTTCTCAAAAAATATGGAAAATCCCACATTTTTGAGGAGAGTTCCTCGAGATCTCAGGGGCTTTCCTCAAACCAAGTAAATTCCTCACAGTTTTCCCGTTTCCCCTTAAATTAGACATTGCTTTTACCATATAGTGGTCATCCAGAAAGTAAGTCCGTCATTCGCCCTTTCGAACCTGCCAGGTTCAGTCTCAACAAGCTCTCGTATATCGCCTGCGTAAGTATAGGCAACATCTTGCAAGCAGTGCATGCGTGTACCACGGGGTGGCCTACCCCGAGTCTCGAAGGCGCCGACCTCCCGTAATCGGCCCAATGAGCCCGCAGGAAAACGGACGTTCCTTTCTGGACGGTCGAGCGGGGATCATCACCGCAGTGGTGGAAGTTCCGGGTACGGGTCGGAACAGAGAGTTGTTGCACACCGCACGCCTGCACGCCCGAGGCTTATGTCTCCCCGCCTCCCGGTCGCGTGCACGTGCAGGCGCGAGTGCGTGCCGCTGCGTGCCAATGGTGGCACGTGGTGCAAAGCGCAGCTGGCGCAGCTCGCTGGAGCCGTTTCCCTCTCGCCTCGCGGCCGCTCGCGCCGCACCGGCACAGCCGGGTTTATTTCTATTTCGATACTCCTTTCCCTCTCGAGAGCGGGGCGCACGGAGCGGGGGGCGGAGAGAGGGGAAGCGAGAGCGGCGCGAGAGCGGCAAGGGCGGAGGGCAGGGCGGCGGCGTCGCGACGGGGCGGGACGCGGTGGGGCGGCACGGGGACGTGAGGTGGGAAGTAAGGCAGTGGGTCAATCGAGACGGAAAACAAAAGCGGGTCCGGGCTGGAGGAGGACGGGGAGGGGAGGCGGAGGTCTGGGCCAAGGTCTGGGCCAGGGCCAGGTGTGAGGCCAGGGGGCCAGGGCCAAGGCCTGTGGGCCAAGGCCTGGGCAAGAAGAGCGCGCGTGGCGGCGAGAGGCACGAGAGGCGAGCAGCGCAGGGGCGAGTACCAGCGGGTACTATAGGGTGGGGTGCAGCGCCGCCGCGAGGTCCACCTCGTGGTGCTTCCTGTGTCGGTTTCACCATCTTAAAGGTACAGATCGTCTAACATCCATCTGTCTGTCCGTCCGTCCGTCCGTCCGTCTGTCTGTCTGTCTGTCTGTCTGTCTGTCTGTCTGTCCGTCTGTCTGTCTGTCTGTCGATAGAAAGGGAATTGGAGTTTGAGAGGAGCGGAGAGCGGAACGACTTAGTGGATCAGCACGCGGTTCGGCATGGCTCGGAGGCGGCAGGAGACAGAGCGGGGGACGTCAGCAAGGGGGAGGGGGGAGGGGTAGTGGCATGATACCTTTCCTTTTCCTCACGGCCCTGCGTTGGTACCCCCCTCCCCTACTGGAAGAAGCGCGAGCAAGGCAGAGAGGGGCGGGGGTTGGAGAGAGGGACACCGTTGCGGTGCTATCACTATCAGTCGCACTGTGACTACCGTGCCGAGCATCCGTGCGGCCCCGCGCCCGAGCTCCGCGACAGTCTTCGCGCCACGCCGCGCCACGCCACGCCGGCACACAGCCCGGGCGGGCGCTTTTTGTGTCCGGGTGTAAACACTGCGCCCGGGCCGGAGGGGAAGGGCGGAGAGGGGAGGGAGGCGAGGGCGGGGCGTCCGGGTGTAGGGTCCCCGCGCTGGGCCCGGCCGTGGGGCCGTGGGCCGCGGGCCCCAAAGGCCAGCCAAAGGCTTGGGCTGGGCTGCGCTGGGCCCCCTCCCCGGGGTCCTTGCCTTGCCCCTGGGCCCCCTCCCCGTCCTGCCGGGCCCCTGCCGGGCCGGGCTCGGCCGGGCCTGGACGCCTCGCCTGGACCGGGTTGGGTATCGCAGGGTACCACGGGTCTCTGCTCAAGTCTCCCTAGGAGAGGGGCTGCAGAGCTGCACCCGGCCGGTCACGTGCTCGGGCTCCCTTCTCGGCTCCCTGCTCTCCCTGCTCGGATCCCGGCTCGGCTCGGCTCGGCACGACTCGGTTCGGCCCATGGGAAACCGCGGGATTTTCGCCGGCCAGGGAGACGCAGCCCGCCAGTGCGCCGCCGGTCCGCAAGGGTGAAAGTTTGTTATTGTTTAAGTGCGGCCGTGCACGCGTCCCGGTGAGCACCCCGTCGGCAGCCGCGCCCACCACCCCGTCCAGCCCGTCCACCAGGCCCCGCACGGCCTCACCATGCCCGATGGCTTCAAGGGTTGTGCCGTCAACGACAAGAACAACAACAGCAAGGGCGCCACCAACCACAACGCGAACTGTCATCACCATCACCACCATGGCAACCACAATCCGTCGTGCTTCGGCGGCGGCGGAGGAGGCTACTGCGGGGGCGGCGGCGGCGGGGGCGGCGGCGGCGCGCACCGACGAGTGCAGGTCACCGCTAAGATCCTGTTCGGCTCCGTCAGTGCCATCTCGAGTATGAAGGCGTCGGAGAAGGCGGCGAGGGCCGGCAAGCGGCCGTAGACCAGGTCAGTCCAGTCGGCAATCGCCACACTCGTCTTTTCTTTTCTCGCCTAGTCGATTTCACTTCAAGAACTCCAATCATGGGTTTACTTAGTGTTGTGAGAATGCTGTATTTACCGCCTCGCGCGGCCCAGTCGGGTTTAACTTTCTAACTTATAATTGTTAGTCGAGTCTCGACTGTCGAGGCAGTCGTGGGCCCGGTGATTTTCAACGGTTCTCGAAAGTAATGTGGGCCCTGTAAACTAAGGTGAGCGCTGGCGTCTGTCCGTACGGCGGCCCTCCTGGCGCAGTCAGCCTTGCAGGGTGGGCCGGCCCGTCGGACACGGGTGTTTTGCGCGGTTGCCTACCATCGGTTCGCAGGCGCTCCGCCGGGCGGCCGGGCTGACGGCTGACGGGGCCCGCGCGGGCGCGTCGCTTTTCTGCCCGTTTTCTCTTTCCTATTCTCATCTGCCGTCGGTCGATCTTTGTGCCGGTCGAAGGCGTGAACGTCCCCGTCGTTTCGCCGGCGAGAAAACACCCCATGCAAACGACACGGACCACGGACCCAGCGGGAC